CTTCTCAGCAGCCTTCTCGGCCTCGAGCTCAGCATCGATCTCCCGAAGAGTTTGATCAAAGCTCTTCTCGGCGATTGGCACCTCGGAGTTTGAAGGCAAGTATTGAAAGCAAGAATTTGGAAAAAGACACAGAAAACAGAAACAAGAATGTAATTCGTAATCAAGAATGGTGATGAAGCTACCAGGAAATCAAGACAAAAAGATTGCACAGGTGTGTCAAGCCAAGAACAGTGGCAGAAATCAACAGATGTGTGAACAGTGTGTATTCAAGAAGATGATTTGGAAACAACGGGTAAAACAGCAATGGTGATTAACAATGAAGCAGAGCTTCTTGGAAAGCAACAAGAAATAAAACCAGGAGGAACAGTGGCTTACTAGAAAGAGGGAAGCCGAAATGAGAATTGCCGAAGTCTGACGATGGATGCGAAAATGACAGAATGACGTAAGCTTCACCGGAGGAGAGGAACGAAAACAGTTGCAAAGCTTGAAAGCTTGGAACAATGACGGATTTAAGCAAAAAAGCTAGAAAGAGAAAAAGCTAGAGAATTGAATGAAAAAAAAAGAAAAATCAGAGTCAAGAAGACAACAAAGTTCAAGAATAAAGCCAAGTGCACATGCACTAAGTAAGTATGCGAAGAACAAGAAAGTAATGACCCAGACATGATGCTAGCAACAGAAAGAGGATATGGCAAGAACAGTGCCAGACATTCAAACAATTCAAAACTTGAAAAACAGACGAAAATAGAAGACAACAGAGGGCAAGTAAACGGATTCAGAAGAGTTATGAAAGATTGAGCTTAATAAAAGAGTTTATGAACCTACCAAGAGAAATGAACGCCGATATGAAAATCGCCGGAGTCAAATAGATGACTGGAAATCGGGAACTCACCAGAGAGTGTGAGTGGAGCAGTTGCAAAACTCTTGGAGTTTACGAATTAATGGAACAAGAACCTCGGCTAGGATGTGTGATCTCGAGCAGCTTGAAAAGCATGAAGCTTGATACTTGACAGAAGTGGACAGTAAAGTCCAGGGAACTTTGAGGTTGGCGAGTTTGATCTCGGACAGAGGGGCACAGATAAGCGAACAGTGTAGGTTCCATTAACTCAGAATACCGAGGTAATAGAACCTAGGGGGCAGTTGTGGGGATATATTTTCTGAGTACTAATACGTGGCCAAGGTGACGCCGATATGTCAGCCGAGGTGCCACGTGTCCTGGTTGTTATGCCGAGGTCATCTCGGATAGGCCGAGGTTACCTCCGAAGATATCGGAATCCAAGATAAGCGGATGAGGGGCAAGAGTCTTAGAATGAGAGGAGACTTCAGTTTGTATTAAGATAAGACTCTTAGAGAGTTTATCACCACCACCTCCCACTCCTACTGATCCGATGCTAACATTTACAAATTTGTAGATCTAAACGACACCATCGTGCCAGCTGTAGACGTGCCCCGAGAACTCCTGAGATCCGCGCTGCGAGGGCGCGAAATCCGTTTTGTTCTAGGCTACTACAAGTTCGGACTCATGTCATAGTTCTGAATCTAATCTCACAAAGTGCAATGTGAGACCGATAAATCACCAAAGAGTCCAAATCTGGCAAATCATTTTGGAAACTGATTTTTAATAAAGAAGTGTCAAACATGGACTGCTTTGCCAGATACAGAGTCGCCACCTAAATATTTTATTTTTAAAATTCATCAAAAGATGATAAAATTCATTCTGCTTCATTGAAGTAAAACAATATTCATTTAGTTAATACTTTGGATGGCGAAAACATGATCAATGAACAATCAGACCCCTGAGCACAACATTGATATCTTATGACTCACAACAACCTATGAAGCACATGTACGGTACGGGCCACTGATTCATATATAGTATATACCGTAAAATTTAAAATAAAACAACATAAAACGTAAAGTGGTATATAACTTAGTACGTTCGGAAATATATATATATATATATTAATTTGGAGTAATGTAAAAACTAGTTAAATGATTTAGTTAATTAAAATTCACATTTTAATGAGAGAAATAAGGTATAAATTAAAATTAAATATTATTACAATAAAAAATTTGTAAGGAACCAAAGCTAAATTTTAAAAGAGGAAATTACTGCTTTGTGGATTTTTTAACAATTAATTACTGATTAATGAAAAATTTTATCACTTTATACTTCATTACGTGCAAAGTTTATCATTAATCTGTAAATATTTTTCTAAAATATACACTGACATATGATTTTCCTATTTTAAAATCTTGTTAAGCATAGAAAAAAGTTTAATGAAACTAACTTCACTTCACCTTTATATTAAAAAAAGATTATTCTAAATTAGGTACGACATGATTATATGCTAGATACTTTTGGGATATTTTTTTTTATATATAAAAAATAGATAGTTATTTCACGTACCTAGTGCGCATATAAAAAGTCATGTAAACACTACAACAAAACTAATTATTTACGGCTTCAACTTTACGGCATACATTAAATGCATGTCGTAATTAGTACATTCTACGACAATTTTTTTTGTTTTTGGCAAGATGTTAATGGTTTTTAAATAACAACATACTTACCATGTAAGTCGTTAATTCATATATTTATGACATACAAAAGTATGCCGTGAAAAATGTATATTTTCAAGACTTAAAAAATATGTCATAAAAGATTTGCACTTAAAATGACATACATTTAATGTTGTAAAATATTATAACTTTACACGGCATGCATTAACATGTCATGAAACTTTTGCAAAAAAAAAAAAAAAAAACTCAATCCGAATTTTTTTTTATGGCATGCAAAAGCATGCTGTAAAAAATGTATATTTTCACGACATACAAAAATATGTCGTAAAATATTTGTACTTAAGACGACATATATTTTATGTTGTAAAATATTATAACTTTACACTGCATGCATTAGCATGTCGTGAAAACTTTTATTAAAAAAAAATTTCAATTCGATTTTTTTTTTATCAAAAAAGCTAATAATTTCCAACCAAGCTTCTCACCTAAAATTTTCCTAATTGAGGACAACGTAAAAAATAATTTATAGATTATTTTATAATTCAGTGTCTCTTTTAAGGAATAATTGCACCCAATGAGATTTTGGGAAAAAAATTACAAATTCATGAAAAAGTATATAATTTTAATGATTAATATTTATATGGCTTCTCACTAATTTGTAATTATTTTTTTTTTAAATTACCTTGATTTGATATTTTCCCTTCTTTTAATGATTTATTTATTTTTTACTTTGTTGATGTGCCTTATTTGAATACAACTAAAAAATAAAATATTTGTAAAAAAATATAATAAAATATAATATATATGAAATGTATTAAATTTTATATTTTTTTGAATTTAGTGATTTTAAAAAAAATTAAAATATATATATATTTTTAAAATATATGTAAATTATTTGAATTTAAAAAGTTTTAAAAAAATTATTTAAAATATTTAAAAACTTACAATAACTAAAACAAAAATAAATAAAAATACTCAAAAACATTATTTTAGGCCCGTTACTCTCTCACTCACTCTCTCTAAACCCTAATCTCTCTCAACCGATCAAATCAACCTTCTTCAGCCCCGTTTGTTCTAATCTTAGAGCAATTAGTGATTCATCTCAGATCCAATCTTAGAGCGATTGGTGATTCATCTCAAATCCAATCTTAGAGCGATTGGCAATTTTGACTTTGAGATTTCCAAGCTCCACCGCCTCCACCATCTGCACCGACGAGGGGAGCGAGCACCATTATCTACTAAGGTGAGCACCACCGTCTCTCTCTCTCTCTCTCTCTCTCTCTCAGTTTCGTATTCTCTTTCTCTCTCTCTCAAGCTTTTCCTTCCCCATCGAGTTTGGTCAGATAATGAAACCAGTGCATTTTATTTCAGAATTTCGTTGTTTGAGCAATTTGCTGTATAATAATTTGTTGATGGAATCTCAATTAAATTCCACTCCAGTTTTCCTGTTTCATGCTCATGCTTCTTGGTGCACACTGTACATGCCTTTTCCTTAACAAAATTTCTTCTAGTTGTAGTGATAGACAAATTCTCTGTTTCTCTGAAAAACTTTATGGACCTTTATTTCCTTTGCTTGTTTTATGAATGGATTTGAAGACTTAAAGTTTTATTTCCTTTGCTTCTTTTATACTGTATACTAGTTTATAATGTCTACTAGTCATGTTCTTGTTTTAAAATTTGGTCATATGGCTTTCCCTAGAACACATTACTGTATATTGGGTGACCTATATCATTTTGCAACCTGTTGAATTCTAGTTCGTAATTTCTCACTTCTAGGACATTCTTTGTTTACTGCCAAAATATTCTTTAGTGGTTCTAGGGCTTCTCCTGTGCATTTCTAGGTGTTTGGCTGATGACCAAGGGTTGCAGGTATTTCGATTATAAATTTTATTCATGAAAGATGCAACAATTTATAGTGATGTTTTTAGGAAGCAATGAACTCCTACATGTTGGGTTTGTAGCGTTCAGCTTGTTTTAGTAATAGTATTGAGTAAAGATTCAGGAGATCTCTAAAACCAATTTGACATTTTGTGTGATATGGGAGGGCCCTATGTACACAGGCAGCAGGTGGCCACACTATGACCTCCATTTTGATTATCAATAACAAATGATGAAATTTTAATGTTAAGTGTCAGCAATAAATAGGAACAACGATCGTTTAAACTATATTATTCTTGTGAAGGGAAGTTGAGATGAATGGCTTTGTAAATGCACTTTTCGATGACAGCCCTTACATTGATAGACCATGCTAATGAGACTTGGAGTATTCCTGCAATATGTATCATCAAAGAGAAAGAATGGAACAGCAAGAGGTGAGTATCCATGCTTCAGTTGTGCGTTCATGAAATGGAGAGAGATGGGATAGTTTTTACTAGAGCGTAAAGCACAAAATCAAACTCATTGTTACTTGTATTGCTTGACCGAGTATTGATTATTCTTGATTGTGAACAATAGGCTATTCATTTTATCACTAACAGGTTGGGATGATCAACAGTACTATAGGACAGTAATGTTTCTGAATTTCATGTTTGTAGGAAATAATAGATATGAAGGTGTAGTTTTGTGCTTTTTTATGAGAATCTTTCTTAAAAACAAGAAACATTTTTAATGTATACTATCAGTACTAAGTAGCTTAATTAATTACAAAATTTATATTATTGTCTTCCCCATTTTTTGGTTGCAAAACATATGTTTTATGTGAGATGATTTGATTTGCCTCTCTACTTAACAATCATAGATTCATGAAGTTCATATAGTGAGGTGGAAACTAATCCAGTTCTATTTTACCTGTAAGAAGGGGAAGTCAAATTTTTTGTGATTATTTTATATTGAATATTAAGGTTTCTATTTTTCCCCATTTTGATTTTATGGAGAATTGAATTTTTCAGAAAGATTATCAAGCCATTGATATCCTTCTAGCAGAGATTGATATATAAGAGCTTTTTGCTTTCAAAAATTGCAAGGGAATGAAGGTTAAGCTTGCTCTTTGTGAAGGTAATTTCTAATCTTTGAATATGCAAGCTTGCATTGTTAGGGAAATTCTACTTTTGTCTCAAATAAATTTCACTCATACGCAAGCTTGAAAGTCCAAATCTGATCTTATGATTTTGCCTGCTTTTGGTTTCTAGGTTGCTATGTTTGGGATGAAATGTTGACACTTGAAAATTTCTCTTTGTAAATGTTGAATAGCAAATGTCACTACAACATTTTTTTAGTTTAGTGACATTTGAAAGTGCCACAAAACTATTGGTTTAATGACATTTTGAACAAGTGCCATTTGTATCTGTGCCACGGTAGATACTTGCAAGTGCCACTACACCATCATGGCTAAAAACTTTAAATGACATTTTGATGTCATGGTAGATATTATTTGTGGCACTATCAAGCGCCATTAAAAAAAGAGTTAGTGACACTTGTAAGTGTCAGTACACCATCAAACTAAAACCTTTCAGTGACACTTTAATGTCATGGTGAGCACTATTTGTGACGCTATCAAGTGCCATTCATGACGATAATTCGTTGTAGAACAATTTGATCCGCTCTTGTGGAGACTCGAACCGCCAACCTCCCGCACCATAAACCTTATACACCACACTCTTCCCACTACACCTATATAGCACCACATGATTATATATGCAACATATATTATTTATATAGTACATACATCCATATTAATATAAAAGTATATGTATAAACATAATTATTTTATTGAACATAATTTCTGTAAAATAAACTATTTACTAGCAAAATAAAAAAAAAAGACCACTTTTGGCCACTAAAAATATTTTTTAGTCGCCAATTCTATACTTTTGGCTACTAATTATTTTTTAGTTGCTAAAAAACTTAACTTTTGCCGACCAAAATCGGATTTGGTCGCCGAAGATGCACTTTCAGCTACCAAAATTTTGGTCGCCAAAAAATTTAATTCCCGCCTTTGGATTTTAGTTCTCCTGCGCTAAAAATGACCACTTTTGGCGACTAAACTTATTTTTTAGTCGCCAATTGTAAACTTTTGGCTACTAAATTTTTTTTTGGCACCAAAAAGCTTTACTTTTGGCTACTAAAATTTTTTTAGTCGATAAAACCCATATAATCAGTGACCAAACTTATTTTTAGTCGCCAATTGTAGACTTTTGGCTACTAAATTTTTTTAGTCGCCAAAAAGCTTTTACTGTGGGCTACTAAAAAATTTTTAGTCACTAAAACCCATATAATCAGCGACCAAACTTAGTTTTAGTCGCCAATTGTAGACTTTTGGCTACTAAAATTGTTTAGTCGCCAAAAAGTTTTACTTTTGGCAACTAATGCTGTTTTGGTCGCTGGAAGCTATACTTTCAGCGGCCAAATTTTTTTTTGTTAGGAAATTTAGTCGCCGAATGTGCTTTTTCCTGTAATGTATATTGAGTTTAATTTATTTATTTTTAATCATTTACTGCATTTTAAAAATTTAGAAAATATATTGGCATTTTTTGTTTTTTCAAAAATGTCATTATAAGCTTGGAAAGTTTTTGGGTTAGTGGTATTTCTCAAAATGCTATAAAATATTTGTTTATGACACTTTTCACCTAAGTGCCATAAAAAGTAATTTGCACCTACCTAGTGTCCTGACATTTTTTAAAAAATGCCATTGCGACTAAAGTTTAGTGACATCTGTTGGTAAATATCACGAACATAATTTTTTGTGTCATTATTTTATAAAATGCCATAAAATTGATATGACATTTCTTTATTGAAATGCCACTAGAGCCTTATATGTTTGTGGTTCTGTGACATTTTTCTAAAACATTAAATGCCAATTTTTATTTTTGTGGCATTTTCTAAAAACATGCCACTAGTGTAGTGTCACTAAAATGTAAATTTGTTGTAGTGACATTTTTGTTGTAGTGAAGTGACACTTTTTTTAATTGAAATGCCACTAGAGCCTGGTATGTTTGTAGCTCTGTGACATTTTTCTAAAAAATGCCACCAAATATTCTTTTTGTGACATTTTTTAAGAACATGCCACTAGTATGGTGTCACTAAAATGTGTTTTTGTTGTAGTGTGTATAATAATGCTTGGTTTGTCCAAAAATCTTGTTCATATGCTGAGTTTTATGCTGTTTAAGTATTGTCAGTTATGCATGTCCTATTATGAGATGGCTTTTTAGTTTCTAGTTTTTAAAATAACTTTGGCTTGTGGATTGTGATTCTAGAGCTTGATGAGAGAACTTGATGTTGAGGCATCTTTCTGACCAACTAAAATTTCTCTCATACTAATGACTCTGGTCTTTGAGTGGGGCTGTTGCTTCTCCAACTCCTCAAGATTAATAAAAACACTTCATTTTGACTTCCAATGAATATATATAATGTGAGACACCTAACTTTTGTAAACCTTATTAGGTCCCTAAATTTTGAGTTATTATAATAAAGCCCTTAATACGTTGATTGTTCGCAAATTAAATCCTAGAACCGAAAATGCATCACGGACGAACCCATATAAACCCTAATCGACCCTGGAAGCTTAGAAATCATTTCTCACACTCTAATATTAATTATTTAACTCTCAAATTTTAGATTAATCACTCTAAACCTTAACTTCCGATTTTCACAATCTTCATTCGGTTATTTACCTTTAAATTCAAAGCAAGATAATACAAACCGAAATATTTTTGCTAACACTAATTTATTAACTCAACACTTAAAATAGATACTTTAATTGAACCCAAGCCCTCACATTTTTATTAAATCACAAATTGACCCCAAACAAGTATCATTATATATTTATATATGCGCTTGTACCCTAAAATCTTTTTTTAACATTATATTTTACAATTTCCAAGATTTGTACACAAAAAAATATATATATATAAAACAAGTCCATCAATTCACCATCACATGGCTAGCCATCATACCTCCTAGGCTGTAATCATTGTACTTTAGTACAAACAAATCTCTTGAAATCTTGAAACAATAATGACCTTGGTACCTATAAAGATTTGCTATATATATGAGTGTACTTCTAACTAGAAGGTATTTAAATTAGCCCTAAACCAAACTAGATCATAATTAAATACATAATTAAGGTTCTAATCCTCCCTCATTCCATTATATTTAAACTAAATCAAGGCACTATTCAATTGAATTGGAACCAATGCGCATTTGGGACTTTTCACACCAAATTCTCTATAAATACCACTCATCCCCATTTGTTGAGAACATATACACACCCACACACACACCCACACTATATTCAAGTGAGAGAAGAGAGGGAGGAGGGTGAGCTTGGTGGAAGATAGGAGAAAAAGTTTGCTAGTAATTCCAACAACCCTCAAGTAAGCCACAACACAACTCTCTTTTTTATTTTTCCTTTTCAAATACATGCTCTTAGAAGTTTTAAACACTCATTTCAAATGTGTTTTGATAGTATTCTCATGTTAAAAATGAAAGGATTTGAGTCTTGATTCTACCTTCTTGTATTTCTCTTAATCGGTATAAGACTACCTTTTTCCATATCAAACTCCCAAAATTTCCAAAGGCACACCTTCACCTTAAATTTTTGAGTTTAATACATATTATTTAGAAAGTTTTCATCACAATACAAGTGGGAAATTTCCCCTAGTTGACCTCTTTTCTCACCAAATTTTTATTTTCAAGAACTGTGCCAGAAAAATCTATTTTTCATCCAACTTTCGAAATTTCTAGAAAAATGTAGAAAGATCTTCTGGACCTAAATTTTATGTAAATATCTTCCTTAAGGAGTTATCTTTCAACTAAAATTGGTTTCATTGAAAATGAGTGAACGATTTGTGAGAAACTCCAATTTTCGTAACGGTCGACGAATCTAGACAGCACTGAAACATTTCTTGAATAACTAAAAATCTGGAAAAGCTATCACATCTCTGAAACACGTTCTGAAAACTAGATTAAATTCTCTATGAACCATAGGAAGGCCGAGTTCGATAAAAATCTAAAATAGCCCTTTTGATTTTAATCTTTAAATGGTACTAAATTTGAAAATTTAGTTTTGCATGGGTGTTTTATGCTCTTGTATTCATGAATATGCTTATTAGTTTATGATCATACCTTGGTATGATATTGCATGTGTTATGGTTATGCTCCTTATCTTCTTCATATTAATGATGCTCATGCTTATGTGGATATTACTATCTTGTTGAGTTTGTTCTAACTTGACTTAAAACATTGATCCAAACGGAAAACTTAATTGGGATGGTATTGGGTTTTCGATCACTTGAATAATGAAGAGATGATAATGTGTTATGTATGGATTGATGGGATGTGCTCCCTAATTGAAGGTTAAGTCTCACGCAAGCGGTTGTCGCGTAAACCCTAGAATGGAACAGACGTATTCGAACTCTTTGTGATGGTTTGATTGGTGAGACAAGGTTGGGTCCGGATGGGACATTCTAGAGGATAAAATTTTTTGGAAGGATAAGGTTAGATTCAGGAGATAAAACCTTTTTTCTTTCGCTGTCCCTTTTGAGGCCCTGCGGTTGGCGCTACGCGGTATATAACCGTTGGCAGGCATCCGAGGTTAGTTCTGCAACAAAGCAGCAAAGGGGGAGTTCTGAATAGTCCGGTGTCCAATTCTTGTGGTTGGGAGGATGAAATTTCTTTGGGGGATTTCTAGAATACTAACCACTAACATTATAACCTTTGTTATCTATTTGAATGACATGTTCCTTTCCTCAGTTATTGAAATTGCTATTATTGACTTGAACTTCATGCTTCATTACTTGTTCACTACAAAAATGATGGTGTATTGGAATGGGAAAAAGGGACGGAGTGTGTGTGCGTTTACTGGACATTCAAAGATCATGGCGTTTCATGCCAGGTATTGAAGACTATTAGACCGGTCGAAGGCAAAGCTGAAGCATTTGAGGACGTATGACTACCCTAGGAGGATTAGAAACTAGTTTGTAAACGTGTTTTAAGATTGTAAGTGATAGATCCCATGTTGTATTTAAGACATGATTTTGAAATTTGTATATATATAA